GTGTAGGAGAATTAGAGAGTCTGAGGAGATAGTCTGGCTTTATTTCACATTGACAATTCACTGGAGCAATCAAAGAAGACATGTCCCTGGATTTACCTTTTGCCCAGGTTTTTCCTTCTGAAGATCAGTGTGTTTGTAATTCTAGGCTAATTCTGCTCCAGACTAACAGAAGTTCATGACCTCTATCCCCTTCTTACCTTACTGTAACCGATACCCTTTTCATTCCCAGTGTGCTATTTGCTAGGAATGGCCAGATGTCTTTTAAATGACATCATGAGAACAAAACTCTTTCCTGGGTCTACAAACTCCATAAGAAGTCATTACCTTCATTTCTCACTTGTGCTTTTGAAGGGGCTTTTTTTAACCCTTTTTATAAATTTTTCGAAACAGTGCAAAATATTCTTCAAGCAGCCATACCTGTCATCTGTGTGCAACTCACATGATATGTAAAGAACACTTTCAGGTGATTGGAATCTTTAGAGTTTGGATGATTTAAACCGTATTTCACAGCCTGGTTAATTGGTATTGTAAAGACAAGAATAAGTTCTCCAACTGTAATCTCCCTATCTGCTCCCAGAGTGCTTCTTGCTGCCTCTTTTTAGGTGTTGCATGTATGACTGTGAGAGTGGTGAGTAAGAGATCTATAAATGGGTTCTAATGAGGAGTAAACATCATGTGGTCGTTCAGTTTGGAAGCTTGTTGAGTGGGAGGCATTTACTGAACCTTGGTGCACTTGCTATAATCACTGATCTTCTATGAAGTGCTGATGTCTGTTTTCTCCTTTGTAAAGTTGTTTCTTATAAAAAAGGATGCCTTAACAGAATCTTAGGGTTAAATATATATGGCTGGAAACTGTTGAAATAAATAAAGAAAAAAAGTATTTATTGCCCAGGTGATTCATACCTTGTCTATTAGCACCAAATGTGGTCATTTTACTGCATTTATGAAAGGCAAAATATGGATTCATTTCATATTTCTTCTTTTAGCTAGCATGCTCTATAAGAACAGAAAACACTGACAGTTGGAATCATTGTTGCTTTTTTAAGAATAAATCTTTTATCTGCTTGCTGTTAACGAGTTGGGTATATTTTCAGAGAATAAAAGTGAGATGCAGCATTAAAAACTGGGATTTTGAAAAAGAAAAAAGTGAGATTTTGCAATTCATTTATTTATTTACATTTATTTTTGAAGTTGAATAGCACATAAATTAAATAATTTCTTACATAAATGTAGCCATTGCTTTTTCCTCTGGCTAGAAACCTCAGGCATCCAATCTTTTTTGTTCCAGAAGGTAACACTGGCATCCTACCAACTGCAATCATAGCACTTCAGATTCTCACTCAAGGAATGGAAAAGGTCTTGAGGGCTGAAAACCCCTCTAATTCCATGATTCAAAAGTGCTTCTAAGCATGTGCTTATATCCATCCTTAATCAGGACAACATTTAAGCAGTTGCTCTCAAGTATATTCTTTTCTGCTTTCTTTAAAATGGCCGAGGGTTGTTCGGTATAAGATGATTGGAGTGGCAAGGGAGGCTGGTAGGTAAGAACTGCAGCAGCTGAAAGAACCAGCAGAGAACATAACTGTGAGGATTATTAATGTACCATAAGCAACCTATTTTTGAGTTTATGGACTCCCATTGATCTCTGGAGGAGCTTGCACTCTAAAAATAACCTGCTTTTGGGAGCTGGGACAGAAAGAATTGGAGCCGGCCAGTGGGAGGTCTGAGTGGGTTGGAGCATCACAGGGAGATAATAGAGGGTCCAGTGACTGCAAAGGGAGTTCAGGTAGCAATTATAAGCAACCAGAGAGTATACCTGAGAGAAAGATAATATTATTACCAGGTGTTAAAATAGCACTGCTTGCAAACAGCATGCTTTAGACAAAATTTGAGAACAGTGGGCTTGATTTTCCTCGGCCCCTGAGCACTGGGGCAGGGTTTATCATCATGGCAATTTGATTTCTTCTGCATTTGGATGGCAAGTAGCAGAGTTCTAGGGAGCTATAGGTATTTTGGTTTTTTTTTTTTTTGCTCCCTCTGCTAACTAACTAGTCCTGTAGGCACATGGCCTCCTGGAAGACCAAAAGTCCTTTGGCTAGAACTGCTATGACTGAGTTGAGGCTGGAAGAACTGGACACACATCACACAGCAGATCTTTTGGGGGGTTCAATGCCTAGTGAGAGACCTGTGTCATGGGATGGGGAAACAAGAAAGGTGCTTGCTCCACTGGCTGGGATGTGATGCCAGTTGGGACCTTTCAGCTCTGAGGTCATAAAGGTATTCAGTGATATTAATATTAATTTCACTGGGATTTGGGTGTGAAAAGTTTGGGAACTATGAGGAAACAAAGGAGGGACAAAGGAGTATTTGAAAAAAGGGAGCATGTAGCTGAAAGTAATTCCAGCAGCCAGATTACTTGGATTGTTAGCAACATGGTAAGACATTATATAACACCTTGTTGTTTTAGTTGGTAAACTCTCTGGCAGTTCCACAGCTAAGCAGGGGCAAGCAGGGACCTTGTACCTGGCCCACGAATCTTCCATGGCCCTTGCGAGTGGAGGATAGCTTCCCCTGGAACAGACAAAGGCTCTTCCCAGACTTACAGACTGCCTGAGCCTTGAGAGAACCTCTGGAGACCATTCAGTCCAACTCCCTGCTCAGGACAGTCTTTACTCAGAGCCACATCCAGTTGGGTTTTGAATATCTCTAAGGATGCAGTCTCCACAACCTTTCTGGGCAACCTGTGCCAGTGTTTGACCAATCTGATGGTAAAAAAAGTTTTGTTTACTATTTAGATGAAATTCCCTGTATTTCACTTTGTGCCTGTTGTCTCCTGCCCTGTCACTGGGCACCAGTGAGCAAAGTCTGTCTCTATCTTCTTTGTACACAAGGGCTTTGTACTCTTCTTTGCATTACTGAGATCCTTGGGGGCTTGATGTGCACAGCACAGGACAGTTGGCATTAGGAACTCAGGAAATAAGGAAAGGCTAAACTGCTTGGAGAAGATAAGCATGGAGCTCCCATGCAGGACAGATGCCTTATCCAGGAGGACGCCAGCAGAAAACACAGCCTTACCATTTAAGATGCTGAATCTTTTAGAAAGGTATCAAAAAAAAATCATGTAATCCTAAAAACCAGAATGCAAAATTACAGCTGCCCATCATGACACAAAACTGCCTACAATGTATTTGGAGGCAGAAACTACCAGTGGCCTATTTCAGCAGAAGGATCAGAAAACACTTGTGACACCAAGGACCCCGCTATGCTCAGATGAGCCTGCTGTGCCCTGAACACTCTTTCTCCCAATCCCAGGCTTGAGCACTTGAGTTCAATTATAGTCAACAATGTTTTATCCACACACCACTTGAAAACAGCCGCCCTGTTTTATTCAGGAACAGGCACAGAACAGTTTGAAAGAGAAAGGAGAATAATCCTGAATGCTGAAGCACTTGGAGGATGTGTGTAGGCAGGCAGTAATTACATAGGACAGGATTACACGTGCATGCATATCCCAGGGAGCCATCAAACACAGCCTTAAAGTTGGATTTTGTTACCTAGGATTACCTGACTGGAAGGAAATTTCAGCTGAAACAGAAGAGTGCACTGCCTTACTGAATCTGGCTATGAGACAGCCACATTGTTTGATTGCCAATGCCCACAGAGCGTGCTAGTAGCTCTACATGTGGTTTTTTGACCTCTTCACTGCAGACAATGACACCCCTTCACTGTTTTTCAGGACAAGTTAATTAACTGTTGACTTCTTTATTCAAAAGTTGACAACACATTCAAGCAGTCAGTGTAAGTAATGCAAGGTTTCTGTTAATAGCACCTCTCTTCTCCAAGGAAGTGCTTCTTCTGAAAGCTAAGAAATCTCAGCCTTCTGAATGTCCCTCCAGTATTTGTTCAGATGTGCAGAGCCTACACATATTCAGGAGCACAACAAAAACTCACTTTATGTAACACATCACGAGATATAGAATTTTGTCATTTTTTTCTCTGTCCTGTGACTTTTTCCTCTATTTTCTAAGCATATGTTAAAAGTTCATGAGTTCAATAAAATTTACCAAAAATAGAGATATTCCTCCACCTCAAATACTTATATCTTAGCTGATTAAACATATATGCTGACCTTTTGAAAGTTAATTATAAAACCTATTTTACTCAATATTGCACTGTCTGGAACCACCAATATCAACAGCAAACACTGGTATCTCTTAACTTCAAAGAGAACAGAAATAGGCCCTATTCTTGGCTTCAGATTAGCTGTGACTATGCAGGAAAGAGTCACTGCAGATAGGTCAAAGGAGATTGCTGATCATTCCCCAGACAGCAGCTAAGCAGTCCCCCCACCCTGCCCTCAACCTTGCTTTAGATAAATAAATACATTAACTCTAGTGGGATTTATGCAAACGACACAGAAAATAGTTTGCTACTATGTCTAGAATACTGTCCTCAGTGCAGTTCGGTCATGAGAATTAAAGTAGAAATAGGGGAGGAAAGGAGCTGGGACAAAAGTAGTTACAGGAACATATAAACTACCAAAAGAAGAGAGACTGAAAATCCCCAAGACTGTTCAGTTTGGAGAGTAGACAAAGACTGAGCCTTACTTACCAATAAGGACTCGAATGGGCAGAAAGAGAAGGCAAGAGAAGAGGATAACCAAAGCAGTTAAAAAACCCCCCATATACATATATGCTTATCAGTGAAGAGAATTTACAGGTAAAATTTTGATTTTTATAAATTGATGCTTTAAAGGCCTGAGCTCTTAACAGAGTGATGAAGTTTCATCAGATTTGGAGAGTAGATGGAAAAATCTACTGGATCACAAAGATTTGTATTCCCTGAGCTTGGTTGTAAACAAGTACAGTCAGTGAGAGCAAAATTGCAGGTATGGGGAGCGTACTCCCCTTCACAACTTACAGGTGCTTTTCTGCATGGTCTGAAAATACACGTGAGTGCTTGGATAATGATTAATTTCTGGTTTTGTGTTTGTCACACAGGTCTGACAAGTGAAATCGAATGGATTCCAAGGAATGGAGATAATTTGAAATTTTTTATATATTTGTATGAAGACTATGAACTTCCTAACTGTTCAGTATCCCATAGGAAGCATCCTCTTTGTACATTTATATCAACACTTTCTTGTTGTCCATTTTGTTTAACATAGGAAAGTACTGCTGAAATAAAACAGACCACAGCAACTAGCAATGAATGTGTATATGTACAGGAATGATTTTGACCTGAGAACAGGGAATAGTGTAACTTGAAGTTGGAACAAAAGTAGAATAAATACTTTCTAGAAATATAATACTATTTGCAATTAACTTGGTTTCTTTCTTTTTGAAAAATGTCAATGTGGACAGAGTTTTAAAATTATTTGACAAAATGCAGAATGACTGAGGAGTGTAACATCTCATTTCCTGTTGTGTACTCCTGGTTATAGAAGAGGAATCATGTATCATGTGTAATAAAGGAAATGAAAATATTAAAAGGGATGGTCTTTCTGGTGAGTTTAGCAAAATTCTTCTTTTGTTGTAGAGCCAAAGTGTTTCTTTTTCTTGAGAATCTAAAATGCACTGATGTTCTGATACTTACGCATCACCTTTACTTTATACAATGAAAATACAAGATGGAGTTAGCTGAGAGAAAACCTGCAACATTTATTCAAATAAACAAGTCATCTAGCTTTGATGGAATATGCTCATGAATATAGGTTGAAGGATCATTATCTTGAAAAGCCCAAATACAAAGAGGACACTGGAATATGGATGCTGGGCAAAATTCGTGTGTTATCACAGCAATTCTTACATAGAATAATTAATCCTTGACTCTTGTTTTATATGGACTGTAAATAAAAAAAGACTGTTCAATGCATATTCTATTTTTGGAAATAAGATCTTATGGTTAGAGAAATTTAATACACTGTGTCTCCTTGGTCTCTCATGTTATTTACTGCAAAGGGATATAAGGAGCTGGTTTTTGATAATATTCTTTAATGTTGATTGAAACTATTCTACATGCTCTGAAACTCTCTGCCTGGCTCTTGTTTATTCAAATAAAATAATGATAATCATTCTGGTTAGAAAACAGGTTTCAAGGTGAATATTACTTATGGCATCAATTTAAGTTTTGTTGCCTCATCAGTAACACAAAAGCAAACAGATAATATTTTTGAATTTTAAGTTTTCACATATTTTCAATCTTTTGTACAGGAAATTAGAGAGGAGCTCTACTCATTGCAGCTCAATTAAAAGGACATTCTTGTATTTTTTACTTTGAATATGCAATACCAATTGGTTACTCTCCTACTTCATCGTGATGTGCTCATGGTTGATTTCCCTTAATGCATTCCTTGGAGGTGAACATCCCTGAAAGACAGGTTGAAATGGAAGTGTAAAGAGATGGAATGCATCAGGAGCATCTTTCATTTATATACCAATAAGATTAACATTCAATTATTTATTCAATTAATTATTCAATCAAAAAACTAACAACTTCCCCCAACACTGCATTATCAGTCACTGATATTGAACTACATTGGTCCTGCCAGCATGGAAATGATAAAAAGGAGAAAACACACAATCCCTTTATCCAAAAGCATGAGTCAAGGCCTCAGCTTTTATTATTCTTTAGTCACTTTAAAAATTATCATTTCAGAGAACAGCTGAAAGGTAAAGCCTCATTTCCCCTCTCCTTTCATAGATAGGAAACTTCATGGTGTAAATTCCAGGAGATGGGGAGAGCTGGGACCACATCCCAGTCATCACATCTGAATGTGTAGGTGAAAGAAAAAAAACCATCCCTGACAGAGAAGTGTTGTTCTTTTGCCAGGTTTCAACTTCTTGTTCCCAAATGGAGAGGTACCACCAGGGGCCACTGAAACATTTTAATACTGGGGAGGGACCAGGCAGAGACAAAGAATATTTTTTCTGAACTTCGTCTTTGTTTTAAATGAAAATTCAAAATATAAAATAATTTTAGACTCTCTTGAAGCTGACAGCTAATGGGGATTGGAGATCAGTGAGAACCCTGAGTTAGATATTAGGACTACAAGAAATCCTTAATAAAACAAGAAATTAGCAATTAAGTACTAGAAAAAATGGAGGCTATGAGGGCTCTCTGTGTCTCAGCTAGCAAATTCTTTACAACTGGTCTGAACCATCATATGATAGTGATGTTATTTTTTATTTAAGCCTTATTAAAGGGTCTGACTGTAGGGCATACACAGACCAACAAAAGATGGCCCAAGCAACTCTGCATATTACTTCTAGCATGGGAAATTCTGTCTCCCAGATGTTAGATTTTGGCACACATTTAGGGAAGGATTGAGGTCTTACAATGAAGCATGAGCACAGAAACATATAACATCAGATTATGCTAAAATCATGCATATTTCATGTGGTTACATGGCAACTTTTATCAGTTTGAGCCAAACTCACTGACAGGTATGTACTAACACCTCAATAATGAGATGATACATGACCACCCCCAGACAGTGGAGCCCGGTGAATGGTTGTATCAAAATAAATAGTTATCACAACTGAACCAGAGAGAGAGAAACTCCCCTCCATCCCATAACCCCTAACCTGCTTAATGGGGAACCCGTGAAATAAAGCTGGATTTCACCATCACCCCTGTGCTCTGGTCTCCATATGGTGCTGATGTGACAGTAAATCAAAGGGAAAGTACTGTCCCTGTGTCATCAAGCACTGTGCATATAAGGTGTGTGCATATAACACACCCAGTTGTGGGTTCTTTTTGTCCTAATGCCAAAAAAGAGATTTCTTTAATCAAGAGAAACAGATCAACTGTGTGGTGGCAACATGTTCTGTTAGAAAAACAGAAATAGTTGTCATGCGGTGCCCACAGCAAAGGTTTAGTCTGATGAGATAGCAAGATCCCAACACATTTGGGAAGAGGCTTTTAATTGTTTGCCAATGAACAAAAACACATTCTAATGATTTTTCTGATCATCCGCACAGAAATAATCCAAACACATTTAGCTCAGAGGTAAAGATAAAGGTATAATAAAAATTACTGGTACCTACAAATTTCAGTGAATTTGAATGAATTTCCATTGGTTACTCTGGTTTAATCACTTTCAATTAAAAGATTATATTGCTTCTGCATTTCTAAGACAAATAGTGTCGCCTTAAAACTCTGGAGGCTTGGATTTATGCATTAACTTGAATTATAGAACTAAACTGGCAATTCTGCCTTTTCTCTGGTGGTGTAAGCTAGTAATAAAAGCAAGTAGTAAAAAAAAACAAACTAGTAAAAGTGAGGCTCTACTGTATTGCTTTACTAAATGTATGAGTATGTATGAGTAAAACATCTGCAGCTACATGCAACTGTGTTCATGCATCTGAATACCCAAAATCAAAGTCTGGAGGCACAGTTCATTGAGTTCAATGGCATCTCACCAGGACTGTGCTCAGTGCAATCACAAGGGTGATAAAGAAGGTCCTTTTATTTATCTCTTGTTTCGTGCACTCAATAAATTATTTATGAGAAGACGTAATGAAATTCTGGCTGTTTTTTATTATAAGAAATTGATGTTGAGAGAAGAGAATCACAGAAGGCTTTCCAAGGAAAAGAGTTGTATCTTTTCTTTAGCTTCGGGGCAAAATATTGAAACAGTTTTCTTTTGCCCTTGTGACTAAGTTTCAGTTTTTCTAATGTGTGCATATTTAATTTGAGTTTTTGCAGATTAAGTAATACGCTTGGCAAAAAAAATCCTGATTTTGGTATATGAGCTGCCTAGTTCTACTGGTGCATGAATAACTAGAAAGAAAACTCTCTCTAAATCCAGCTCTTCAGTCCTCAAAAAGTACTGCAGTCCCAAGATAAAATGTTTTCTAGAGACAAAAAACTAAGGGTTGGATATAAGATTAGTTGAACCTGGCAAAATCCAGTTTTCCTGTGTCTGGAAGCAGTCTGAAGCCACTAATAAAATAAGCACACCTATTCATATATTGTGCTTCCCACTATGTTACTTTGCAGTAATCTATGAGGTGAATGTTTTCAAAGACATCCTACAGAAGACTGGTGACTAACTGCAAGTGCAATAGCGAAGTGAGAATGTTCTGGCCCTGATACCAACTGTGGGTTTCATAAGCACTGGAGGATGGTAAATCTTGTCTGGTAACTAATTAAATTTGATTCTGTCTGGATGTCATGCTGTGAAAAGTGATCTAACCTTTTGCTGTATTTTTAGTGAAACTGGAATTAGATTTGTCTTACAGATGCTGCATCCATAGTAAATGTTTTTTACAGGTACTGCAATAGTTTCTATTGAGAGTAATCTTCATCTAATACAGTGGTTCATCATCTTCATTTAAAACTTTCCTAGTTGATCATTTGCAGGGTTGTAATTGGTCATAACAGATCTCTCTTCTAAAGGGAGACTGATAATCCAAGCCCTGACACGAGCAGGCTGGTGAAAGGTATGTGATGGACTGAACCATGACAAATGCTTAGAGAAGGCCAAAGACTTGAGGAAAAACCTTAAGACCCTTTGTATTCTTATTGTTACTGAACTTAGGAAAACCATCTTGCTCCTTGCTCCCCACCAACAGTCCTGGTGTGTGCTGAAGTGCTGATTTGGAGATGCTGGATGAGTGATGGAAGAAGCGGTGGGGTTTGAATAAATAGGGCTCTGCTTCACAATGTTGCTGGTGGCTGTCACAGTTGCTGACAAGTCTGGCCCTGGTCTGGTGGCTGTACCTAGAATTAGGAGGGTCTGGAGAATATCCAGATTTGTGCTTTCCTACAGAAACTAGTAAAGGAGCACAAATCCTTAAATGTCTCATTGCACAGACAGGTAGCAAATGCACTCACACAAAAAAGCAAATAAAGCCCTCTGCCCTGTGAAACACATAGTGTCCCCCTCCTCCCTCTTTCCATGACAGCCATGTGTCACTGGAGCTGGGGTATGGCTTACCAGCCATCTGGCTTTCACAATGTTCTTAGCACTTCTTGCATACTTCCTGCATGCACATCCATGTGCTCATCCTCTGTTTTTATTGCTGAAGGTTAGTGAGGATAAATGAAGGCCTCCAATGCCATTTTTTATGGCCAGTTTAGGTCTCTCAGATAATCTCCTATGAGGTCACCCACCTCTGCTAAATGTCATGAACACATGTGATCCGAAAGCCTTCACAGTCTGTCCTCATGCCTGAATGGCATCCCAGTGACTCAGGCACTATCTCCTCTAAATGAGGCCACCTCTTAATTCCCTACTTTGACTGTTTCTCAAATAAAATGCTACTGACCAAAATAAGAGCAATCAAGTGAGTGCAATGGGTAAGAGCTTTGCAGAGATTGGGAGAATAACACTGGATGACACCAGATAGTTGAGAAAATTCATTCGGCATCAAATTCATATAGTCCTAATACAGATGGGACATCTGGGCTCTTCCCTATCCCTTGGGTGGAGAGGA